GAGATATTCATTTTACCTACTGGTAAGCCTTATTATAGGCTTACTTGTATGTAAAAATCACCAAGGGGACTTTACTGCCAATTTAAACTTAGCACTACAAGAACACCCAGATCCTTCTCCACCACTGATTCCCCCAGTTGTACTCCCCCTAGCATATATGATGAATGCATATTCTTAGCCCCCAAGTGCATAACTTTTACATTTATCAACAATGAACCTCATTTGTCACATAGGTGCTCAAATAAACCTTGCATTGAGTTTGGCTTGTAAGTTGGAGACATCCTGTAAGGATGTTATTCCACTGCATAGCTTGGTGTCATCTACAAACAGTACTTTTAATCCCAGACCCTATAACATTTATAAATATATATTAAAAAAGTAAGGGTCCTAACACTGAACCTTGGGATACACCACTATTAACTTCAGAGTATGAATCATCAACCACTATGCTCTGAATATGGTCTTTTAGCCAGTTTTCTATCCATTTACAAACTGATTTTTTCAAACCTATAGACTTTACCTTATACAGTAGTCGTGTGTGGGAAACTGTGTCAAACACTTTTGCAAAATCGAAGTAAACTATATCCATGGCCACGCCTTTGTCTAAGGTTTTGCTTACCTCCTCACAAAAAGAAATCAGCATAGTTTGACAACTTCTCTCTTTCATAAATCCATGCTGTCTGTTGCTTAAAATATTTTCCAGCACAAACTCATCTATATGGTCTTTTATTAAACTCTCCAGTATCTTCCTAACTATAGAAGTTAAAATAACAGATCTGTAGTTACTTGGTAAAAACTTTGATCCCTTTTTAAATATAGGCACCACATTGGCCTTACACCAGTCCAGTGGTACTATGCCAGTCATTGAAGAGTTCCTAAAAATTAGAAATAATTGGCTTTGGGCCTAATATGAGGAGGTGAATTTGGGCTCCTCCACCATACTTGAGATCAAGACTATTGGCACTCCCTTGAATACATTTCCCATCACAAATGGAACGAGGCAGGGGTGTCCCCTGACTCCTCTCATACTTGGTCTTACAATGGAACCACTTCTGTCTATGATCTGTAACTTTCCAGACATCCAGGACTTCTCTATGCAATCAATCCATCACTCGAAAACAGCTTCTTCTCTCATGTTTCCTTTTGATTATTTCCCAACTTCAGATATGCAGTCATCTTTCAAATTACGAGATCAATTATCAGAAATCAGAAACCCTAGTTGTTCATTTTCCAAGTCCTACCTCATAAAGACTTAGGGCAAATTTCCTCTTTACATTATTATACAGTATTATACATGGTTCCACTCTCAAATTAGATACCTGTGAACCAACATCTCTGCATATCTTTGCACACTTTTGATAACAACTACAAACCCTTGTTGCAGTCCATTAAAAATCACCTAACTAAATGGAAACAAGGTACTTCACTTGGTTAGGATGCAACAGTAAACTCAAAATTACCATTAATACCTTTTCTGTTTTTTTAAGTTGATCCCTACAGCACAAATTTGTTAACTGTGTTTTTACCAATATATATACATATTTGATGGTAATTGAGTCTTAAGTCATATCTTTTGTAATAAAGTTTTTACACATAATTTTACAGGGGGTTTTGTTAGTCAAGTTCCTGGGGTACCAATAACGTCCACAACATGTATGCTCTTTTTCTATATTTGTAATTGACTATAAGGATGTGGTACATCCATGGCTTTATTAACTGGTACTGGCCCTGTGTTCTTTGTGATATACAGTTTTTATCAATATTTTCCAATGCCTTGTCATGTGTATGGAGAAACTAGTCAGAGATACTCAGCATATGACAGGCATGATGGTAGTTTTTTTTAGGTTTGATAAAGCCAATATGCTGCTAGGTCCAGAGAGACATAGTATGGTTTTACAGATTCAAAATCCCTTGTCAAACCTTATGAAACAGTTGAATGCTTCCTCTAAGTCAGGAGTATTGAATTAAAATTCAAAGAGGTCCAGTCACTAAAATTTTCTTCTGGCCAAGTTCCGAATAGGTAGTTCCCATCAGCATGTCCCCTTACATTAGCTGTCACATCAAAGTACAACGTTACATCATGTATTCCCATCACATCAGGTGTGCCCATCAGAGTGCCCCTTTACATCAGGTATCCCCATCACATTGCCACCTTACATCAGGTATTTCCGTCAGAGTGCCCCCTCACACTCAAAGTACCCCTTTCTATCATATTTCCATATCAGAGTGCCCCTTTCCACAGTATGAGCCCATTTGTGCCCCCTTAACATAAAATGTACCCATCAGAGTGCCCCTTAACATAAAATGTGCTCATCAGAATGCCCCTTAACATAAAATGTGCCTGTCAGAGTGCCCCTTAAAATAAAACAAGGGGCAATCTGATGGGCACATTTTATGTTAAGGGGCACTCTGATGGCCACATTTATATTAAGGAGCATTCTAATGTGCACATTTATATTAAGGGGCACTCTGATGGATACATTGTATGTACAGGCAGGGAGCCGGAGAGACAGTGAGCTGAAAGGGGCAGGGTACACACATGATGTCATGTTCCCGAAATGACCACCCTGCTCAGCGGCGGATCTGTCATTGCAGGCTGGCAGTCGGGGCAGCAGCAGCAGTCTGCCATTTAGGGGCCATTCGCAGACCGCAGTCTGCCATTTAGTGCCCACTGTTCTAAGTGTTTGCAAAATTCAAGAGGGTGATATATTGGATTTATTTGAAAAAAAACATAAAGCAGTTGTGGCAATGTATTCATTTTAATATCTGCCATCTGGCCAAGCCAGGAGACTGTTTTCCACTTTTGAAGATCCTGTTTTACCATGTCAATGAAAATAAATAGTTTAAGTGACACAAATGTGAAATCAGTCAGAAATCTAACTCCTAGGAGAGTGATATGAGATGTGTCCCATCCAAATGTGTACTGGTGCTGTAAATCTTGGGGTACTGACCCTAGAAGATGAATACCCATGGCTGTGGATTTAATGTTTTTATTTTTAAGTTTGTGATAGATGAAGAAGAAGTAGAAACCCCGGAGTAGTTTAGGGAGCGTTGCCTGAATGTTGGTCAAAAAAAATAACATGTCATCTGCGTAGGCAGCAGTTGTATATCTTTCCTTACCAATTTGAAATCCTTTAATGCCTGCTTCAGCTCAAACTATTCTAAAGAATGGCTCTAGAGTTAAATAAATATCAAGGTGGGGCAGTGGGCACCCTTCCCTGGTGCCATTCTTTATAGGAAAGCTGTCTGATAAAAGACCCTTAACTCTGACTTTAACGGATGAACAAGTTAATAGCCTTAATTCATGAAAACATGTGTGTCTGCATCCCTATGGCTTTCAATACCCTCAATGAAATAGCCCAAAGTGATCCTATCAAAAGCCTTCTCTGTATAGGCTGACAACAGGAACAGCTCTGATTTCTGTTTTTGCACTCATAGGATGGCATTCAAAGTTGTAATAGTGTTGTTCCGAGCTCCCCTCAGGCAAATCCCAATTGGACAATGTGTACCAATGAAGGGGTGAAGGTGATTCAAAATCTTTATGAATATTTTCAAATCCACATTCAACAATGATATGGGTCTATAGCTTGGGTATTGTTGTAGGTCCTTACAATTCTTTATTTATAACTACTAAATAAGTTTCTAGTGTTTGGGAAAGAGGCAAGGTGCCTGTGCTCAGACTAAAGTATGCCTTCAGAAAATGAGTAGCAAATGTTGTTTCAGTTTGTAATCTTGTAAGATCAGGTCATCCGGTGCTGGGCTTTTTTCCTGGCTTAATTTGTTTTATTGCTTCATGCAGCTCCTCAGCCAAGATAGACATTTCCAGTGTTTGGATCACAGATTGTTTGTTTTAGTTTAGGTAGTGTGGCTTTATTCCTAAAGTGTAGGATATGAACAGTACAGGACTGAGGTACTCCAGATGTCCAAATTATTCATTTTTGGAGAGAATTGTAATTTTCTTTAAATGTATTTACTATTGACTGGGAACAATTGGTAATATTACCTCCAGGGAGGAAAAAAGCATGTCCTGTTTGAAACTGTTCAACCTGCCAGCTAGACTACACAAAAAAGGCTTGTCATCCTCTAGCCAGATGAATTCAGATTTTGTTCCAAGCATGACGAGCACCTTTTTAGTGCATATTTAGCCACACAGTGAAGTACATCCCATTTTTTCTCCAAGGGTAAACTCCTAAGCTATAAGGCAATGAACCACGGCCACCTTTTGAGCTTAGGGGTAAAGAGAACATTTTTGGATATACAGTATGGGGTTTGACCATACCCCAGATGAAAAACAACCACATGACATTGTAGGGATGTCACAGGGATAGGGAGGACTTGGACTAGGTATAGAATTTTAGGTAGGATTGACATTTTAACAGCATTAATTCTACCAAACCATGCCAGGGGAAGTGAGGACCAAGATTTCAGAAGACCTGTGAGATGGGATAGCATAAGAGGATAATTCCATGTGTAGAGATTGTCTAGATTGTCTAGATTGGCTGACAGTTGAATATCAAGATAAGAGATATGCTTAGTTGACCAGGTAAATGGCAGGGCCTCCTACATGTGAAGTAAAATGTAAAGGAGAGTAGGCAGTAAGGTTATGTTTAGAGCATGAGATTGAGAGGGATCACCATGAGCCCTAAAATCACCACAAATTGGTCAATGGTCTTAAGTAGGTTGGGGGTGGAGATCAGAGATGAGGACATAAAGAGAAGGACATCATCTGCAAACAGACACAGTTTGTGGTGATGGCCTCCAAATCTCCAAACCCTTGTTATTTGGATCATCATGGATCAACTGCATCAGTGTCTCAATGGCCAGGGCAAACAGGGGTGGGGACAGTGGGCACCCTTGTCATGTCCCTCTGCAGATATTGAAAGTAACTGACTTGTAGCCAGAATATCTTAAATATGCTGTGGGCATGTCACAGAGGAAATCCAACTGAGAAAATACAGGCCAAAGCCCCAATGCCACAAGGTCTAGTGCAGGTATGTCCAGGAGACTGCTACTACAAACATTTGTGAAAGAATGGGTCACTCTCAGAAGCTCAGTGAATTCAGGCATGGTACTGTGATAAGTTGCCACCTGTGCAATAAGTCAATCCGTGAAATTGCCTAGCTACTAAATATTCCACAGTCAACTGTTAGTGTATTACAACAAAGTGGAAGCAACTGGGAACAACAGCAACTCAGCCACGAAGTGGTAGGCCACGTAAAATGACAGAGCGGGGTCAGCGAATGCTGAAGTGCAGAAGTCGTCAACTGTTTGCAGAGTCAATAGCTAAAAGCCTCCAAACTTCATGTGGCTTTCAGATTAGCACAACAGTGCTTAGAGAGCTTCATAGAATGGGCTTCCATGGTGGAGCAGCTGCATCCAAGTCTTACCGCACCAAGTGCAATGCAAAGCCTTGGATGCAGTGATGTAAAGCATGCCAACACTGGACTCTAGAGTAGTGGAGACATGTTTTCTGGAGTGAAAAATCACTCTTCCCTGTCTGGCAATCCAATGTGTCTGGGTGTGGTGGTTGCCAGGAGAACGATACTTGCCTAACTGCTTCGTGCCAAGTGTAAAGTATGGTGGAGGGGGGATTATGGTGTGGGGTTGTTTTTCAGGGGTTGGACTTGACCCCTTAGTTCCAAAGAAGGCAACTCTTAAGGTGTCAGCATACCAAGACATTTTGGACAATTTAATGCTCCCAATTTTGTGGGAACAGTTTGGGGATGGCCCCTTACTCTTCCAACATGACTGCGCCCCAGTGCACAAAGCAAGGTCCATAAAGACATGGATGAGCGAGTTTGGGGTGTAGGAACTTGACTGGCCTGCACAAAGTACTGACTTCAACCTGATAGAACACCTTTGGGATGAATTAGAGCGGAGACTGCGAGCCAGGTCTTCCAATATCAGTGCTGACCTCACAAATGCACTTCTGGAAGAATGGTCAAACATTCCCATAGACACTAAACCTTGTGGACAGCCTTCATAGAAGATGTCAAAGGTGGTCCAACTCAATATTGAACTCTACGGACTAAGATGGAGATGCCATTAAAGTTTATGTTTGAGTAAAGGCTGGTGTCGCAATACTTTTTGGCAATATAATGTAAATATTGTCTTTTGGAGTGGGATTGGGAATAGGTCTGTAGTGAACAAGAGTGGCGGCACTCCTAGAGGCTGATTGTTACATATAGAGATGAGCGAATCGAAGTAGGCGAAGTGGAATTCGTTTCGAATATTGGAAAATTTTTTGGATTCGCGCCGAATCCGAAAAATAGCCTACTTCGGACGCGCGAATCGAAATTTTTCTAAAATGGCGGCGGACATGTGCGGCGACGGAGCGGGGATGTCTGGGAAGGCGCGCAGACAAGGCACGCTGACCCATAATGCATTCCTTAATGACATGTGATCGCATTAGCCAATCAGCAGCCAGCCAGCCAGCACTGTGTAATGGTCGAGCTATAAATGGCGGCCATTTTAGAATTCTTCATTTGCCTCCAGTCATTCAAGAGAGGCAGACCGCTCTGTATTAGGGACAGAGTTAGGGCCACAGAAACGTTACTTGGGGACAGAGAAACGTTACTTAGGGACAGAGAAACGTTACTTAGGGACAGAGAAACATTACTCAGGGACACAGAATTGTTAGTGAGGGCCACAGAATCGTTACTTAGGGCCACAGAAACGCTAGTTAGGGCCACAGAATTGTTACTCAGGGACAGACAGAATTGTTACTGAGGGCCACAGAATTGTTACTTAGGGCCACAGAAACGTTACTCAGGGCCACAGAATTGTTACTGAGGGCCACAGAACTGTTACTTAGGGCCACAGAAACGTTAGTTAGGGCCACAGAATTGTTTACTCAGGGACAGACACAGAATTGTTACTGAGGGACAGACACAGAATGAGGGCCACAGAATTGTTACTTAGGGCCACAGAAACGTTACTCAGGGACACAGAATTGTTACTGAGGGCCACAGAACTGTTACTTAGGGCCACAGAAACGTTAGTTAGGGCCACAGAATTGTTACTCAGGGACAGACACAGAATTGTTACTGAGGGACACAGAATTGTTACTGAGGGCCACAGAACTGTTACTTAGGGCCACAGAATTGTTACTCAGGGACACAGAATTGTTACTGAGGGCCACAGAACCGTTACTTAGGGCCACAGAATTGTTACTCAGGGACAGACACAGAATTGTTACTCAGGGACACAGAATTGTTACTGAGGGCCACAGAACCGTTACTTAGGGCCACAGAATTGTTACTCAGGGACACAGAATTGTTACTGAGGGCCACAGAACCGTTACTTAGGGCCACAGAATTGTTACTCAGGGACAGACACAGAATTGTTACCAGGGACACACAGAATTGTTACTGAGGGCCACAGAACCGTTACTTAGGGCCACAGAATTGTTACTCAGGGACAGACACAGAATTGTTACTGAGGGCCACAGAATTGTTACTTAGGGCCACAGAAACGTTACTCAGGGACACAGAATTGTTACTGAGGGCCACAGAACTTGTTACTTAGGGCCACAGAAACGTTACTTAGGGCCACAGAATTGTTACTCAGGGACAGACACAGAATTGTTACTGAGGGACACAGAATTGTTACTGAGGGCCACAGAAACTGTTACTTAGGGCCACAGAATTGTTACTCAGGGACACAGACATCAGGGGCAGAATTGTTACTTAGGGCCACAGAATTACTTAGGGGACCACAGAATTGTTACTCAGGGACAGACACAGAATTGTTACTCAGGGACACAGAATTGTTACTGAGGGCCACAGAACCGTTACTTAGGGCCACAGAATTGTTACTGAGGGACACAGAATTGTTACTGAGGGCCACAGAACCGTTACTTAGGGCCACAGAATTGTTACTCAGGGACAGACACAGAATTGTTACTCAGGGACACAGAATTGTTACTTAGGGCCACAGAAACGTTACTCAGGGACACAGAATTGTTACTGAGGGCCACAGAACCGTTACTTAGGGCCACAGAATTGTTACTCAGGGACAGACACAGAATTGTTACTGAGGGCCACAGAATTGTTACTTAGGGCCACAGAACCGTTACTCAGGGCCACAGAATTGTTACTCAGGGACACAGAATTGTTACTGAGGGCCACAGAACCGTTACTTAGGGCCACAGAATTGTTACTCAGGGACAGACACAGAATTGTTACTGAGGGACACAGAATTGTTACTGAGGGCCACAGAACCGTTACTTAGGGCCACAGAAATTGTTACTCAGGGACACAGAATTGTTACTGAGGGCACAGAACAGTTACTTAGGGCCACAGAATTGTTACTCAGGGACAGACACAGAATTGTTACTCAGGGACACAGAATTGTTACTGAGGGCCACAGAACCGTTACTTAGGGCCACAGAATTGTTACTCAGGGACACAGAATTGTTACTGAGGGCCACAGAACCGTTACTTAGGGCCACAGAATTGTTACTCAGGGACAGACACAGAATTGTTACTCAGGGACACAGAATTGTTACGAGGGCCACAGAACCGTTACTTAGGGCCACAGAATTGTTACTCAGGGACAGACACAGAATTGTTACTGAGGGACACAGAATTGTTACTGAGGGCCACAGAACCGTTACTTAGGGCCACAGAATTGTTACTCAGGGACACAGAATTGTTACTGAGGGCCACAGAACCGTTACTTAGGGCCACAGAATTGTTACTCAGGGACAGACACAGAATTGTTACTGAGGGACACAGAATTGTTACTGAGGGCCACAGAATTTTACTTAGGGCCACAGAAACGTTACTCAGGGACACAGAATTGTTACTGAGGGCCACAGAACCGTTACTTAGGGCCACAGAATTGTTACTCAGGGACAGACACAGAATTCTTACTCAGGGACAGACACAGAATTGTTACTCAGGGACACAGAATTGTTACTGAGGGACAGGGACACAGAATTGTTACTCAGGGACAGACAGAATTGTTACTGAGGGCCACAGAACTGTTACTAGGGCCACAGAAACGTTTACTCAGGGACACAGAATTGTTACTCAGGGACAGACACAGAATTGTTACTCAGGGACAGACACAGAATTGTTACTGAGGGACACAGAATTGTTACTGAGGGACACAGAATTGTTACTGAGGGACACAGAATTGTTACTGAGGGACACAGAATTGTTACTGAGGGCCACAGAACTGTTACTTAGGGCCACAGAAACGTTACTCAGGGACACAGAATTGTTACTCAGGGACACAGAATCGTTTAATTAAAGAGTATGTCAGACAACATGCAGAGGAGTGGCAGAGGAGGCAATGTTTTAGGAGCGAGCAGACGTGGCAGCAGAGGAAGGGGTCGAGGCAGCATTATTCGCAGCCAGAGGCTAGTGCTCCCGGTGTCATCCAGTACAGTGAGGAAGAGCTAACAGAGGGCGGTCAGGAACGGGGGGAGACATCCGCCTCTTCAGCAGCCAGGCGAAGAAGTAGTGGCGAGGAGAGTGGCTCGGTAGCCGATCTAGAGACAGGTCTGTCTCCTGACCCACACGCAGCCGAGGGGGCTAGTAGTGAGGCGGAGACCCTAATTGATGATGATGAGGCTGATCGCACTTGGCAGCCTCGTCGTCATCAGGCTATTGCTTCCGCATCATCAGGAGAAGAGGGTGGCAGCTTGGCAGCGAGCAAAACAGTCGGTGGGTTGTCTCCATCGCCACACTCTGCCATGTGCCACTTTCAGGTCTCCTCACACACTGCTGGTGTGTTCCATTTTTTGTCATAGGGTGCTGGCAGATTACGGGCCTCCCATAGCTGCTGCCAGGCCCCTAATCTGCCATGGGCCCCTATACCGCCTCCTCATGCTGCTGCCAAGTCCAGAGTCTCTCATGGGTCCCTGTACGGCCTCCCATTGCTGCTGTCTCCATCGCCACACTCTGCCATGTGCCACTTTCAGGTCTCCTCACACACTGCTGGTGTGTTCAATTTTTTGACATAGGGTGCTGGCAGATTACGGGCCTCCCATAGCTGCTGCCAGGCCCCTAATCTGCCATGGGCCCCTATACCGCCTCCTCATGCTGCTGCCAAGTCCAGAGTCTCTCATGGGTCCCTGTACGGCCTCCCATTGCTGCTGTCTCCATCGCCACACTCTGCCATGTGCCACTTTCAGGTCTCCTCACACTGCTGGTGTGTTGAATTTTTTGTCATAGGGTGCTGGCAGATTACGGGCCTCCCATAGCTGCTGCCAGGCCCCTAATCTGCCATGGGCCCCTATACTGCCTCCTCATGCTGCTGCCAAGTCCAGAGTCTGTCATGGGTCCCTGTACGGCCTCCCATTGCTGCTGTCTCCATCGCCACACTCTGCCATGTGCCACTTTCAGGTCTCCTCACACTGCTGGTGTGTTCCATTTTTTGTCATAGGGTGTGGCAGATTACGGGCCTCCCATAGCTGCTGCCAGGCCCCTAATCTGCCATGGGCCCCTATACCGCCTCCTCTTGCTGCTGCCAAGTCCAGAGTCTCTCATGGGTCCCTGTATGGCCTCCCATTGTGTCTCCATCGCCACACTCTGCCATGTGCCACTTTCAGGTCTCCTCACACACTGCTGGTGTGTTCAATTTTTTGACATAGGGTGCTGGCAGATTACGGGCCTCCCATAGCTGCTGCCAGGCCCCTAATCTGCCATGGGCCCCTATACCGCCTCCTCATGCTGCTGCCAAGTCCAGAGTCTCTCATGGGTCCCTGTACGGCCTCCCATTGCTGCTGTCTCCATCGCCACACTCTGCCATGTGCCACTTTCAGGTCTCCTCACACTGCTGGTGTGTTCCATTTTTTGTCATAGGGTGCTGGCAGATTACGGGCCTCCCGTAGCTGCTGCCAGGCCCCTAATCTGCCATGGGCCCCTATACCGCCTCCTCATGCTGCTGCCAGGTCCACAGTGTCTCATGCCATGTGCCACTTTCAGGTCTCCTCACACTGCTGGTGTGTTCAATTTTTTGACATAGGGTGCTGGCAGATTACGGGCCTCCCATAGCTGCTGCCAGGCCCCTAATCTGCCATGGGCCCCTATACCGCCTCCTCATGCTGCTGCCAAGTCCAGAGTCTCTCATGGGTCCCTGTACGGCCTCCCATTGCTGCTGTCTCCATCGCCACACTCTGCCATGTGCCACTTTCAGGTCTCCTCACACGCTGGTGTGTTCCATTTTTTGTCATAGGGTGCTGGCAGATTACGGGCCTCCCATAGCTGCTGCCAGGGCCCCTAATCTGCCATGGGCCCCTATACCGCCTCCTCATGCTGCTGCCAGGTCCACAGTGTCTCATGCCATGTGCCACTTTCAGGTCTCCTCACACTGCTGGTGTGTTCAATTTTTTGACATAGGGTGCTGGCAGATTACGGGTCTCCCATAGCTGCTGCCAGGCCCCTAATCTGCCATGGGCCCCTATACCGCCTCCTCATGCTGCTGCCAGGTCCACAGTGTCTCATGCCATGTGCCACTTTCAGGTCTCCTCACACTGCTGGTGTGTTCAATTTTTTGACATAGGGTGCTGGCAGATTACGGGCCTCCCATAGCTGCTGCCAGGCCCTAATCTGCCATGGGCCCCTATACCGCCCTCCTCTTGCTGCTGCCAAGTCCAGAGTCTCTCATGGGTCCCTGTACGGCCTCCCATTGCTGCTGTCTCCATCGCCACACTCTGCCATGTGCCACTTTCAGGTCTCCTCACACACTGCTGGTGTGTTCAATTTTTTGACATAGGGTGCTGGCAGATTACGGGCCTCCCATAGCTGCTGCCAGGCCCCTAATCTGCCATGGGCCCCTATACCGCCTCCTCATGCTGCTGCCAAGTCCAGAGTCTGTCATGGGTCCCTGTACGGCCTCCCATTGCTGCTGTCTCCATCGCCACACTCTGCCATGTGCCACTTTCAGGTCTCCTCACACTGCTGGTGTGTTGAATTTTTTGACATAGGGTGCTGGCAGATTACGGGCCTCCTATAGCTGCTGCCAGGCCCCTAATCTGCCATGGGCCCCTATACCGCCTCCTCATGCTGCTGCCAGGTCCAGAGTCTCTCATGGGTCCCTGTACGGCCTCCCATTGCTGCTGTCTCCATCGCCACACTCTGCCATGTGCCACTTTCAGGTCTCCTCACACACTGCTGGTGTGTTCAATTTTTTGTCATAGGGTGCTGGCAGATTACGGGCCTCCTATAGCTGCTGCCAGGCCCCTAATCTGCCATGGGCCCTATACCGCCTCCTCATGCTGCTGCCAGGTCCAGAGTCTTTCATGGGTCCCTGTACGGCCTCCATTGCTGCTGTCTCCATCGCCACACTCTGCCATGTGCCACTTTCAGGTCTCCTCACACACTGCTGTGTTTCCATTTTTTGTCATAGGGTGCTGGCAGATTACGGGCCTCCCATTGCTGCTGCCAGGCCTGTAATCTGCCATGGGCCCCCGTACCGCCTGGTCACGCTGCTGCTGGGTCCACAGTGTGACATGGGTCCCTGTACCGCCTCCCATTGCTCCCACTCTGCCATGTGCCACTTTCAGGTCTCCTCACACTCTTGCTGGTTTCCATTTTGTCATAGGTTGCTGGCAGATTACAGGCCTCCCATAGGTGCTGCCAGGCCCCAAATCTACCATGGGCCCCCGTACCGCCTCGTCACGCTGCTGCTGGGTCCACAGTGTGACATGGGTCCCTGTACCGCCTCCCATTGCTCCCGCTCTGCCATGTGCCACTTTGAGGTCTCCTCACACTCCTGCTGGTTTCCATTTTGTCATAGGTTGCTGTATGGCCTCACATTGCTGCTGCCTCCACCGCCACACTGTGGCTCCAAACACTGGTTTTGGCCCCGTGACTGGCCAAATGAGTGAAGTGTGCGGTGATTCTAAGATCGACGGCACTCATCTGCATGTCATACTGACTGACAGTATTATTTCTCTTCCCCAGCAGACTCCAAGGGCATTTAAATTAAAGGTACAGTGTTCTGCACTAATATTAAGTCTCTCTGAAGCCTAGAAACACCCTTTTTTAAGTTAAATTCACAGCGAATATATTCGACTCGAATCGAATATTGTCCACGAATTCGCCGAATCAGTCGAATCGAATTTTTGAATACTTCGCTCATCTCTAGTTACATACAATACTTAGGTACTGAGTGACAGACATTGTTTAATGTGAGTGCTTTTACTTTGTTTTAATGTGGTTTTAAATAAATTGTTTAATGCAGTGGGAACCCTGTTGGTCTATTTTTTCTGGGTACTGATGCTGTGGAGATTAATGATAAAAGATCTGGAAAGTGTTAGAACCAAGAGAAAAAAAGAACAGTGGAGATTTGTTTAACCTGGAGGAAGAAAGAATACTGTCAGAATCTTGACATCAAGTGGCACACCCTGCTGAGCATGTTTTGATCCATATAATTAAAAGTCTCATAATTTATGGTGAGTGATTAGAGTGGGGTGGTGGTCATAAGAGCACCAATTGTGTGTGAGCTTATACCCTTCTTGACACTGCAAACAATAGTGGATGCCCTTTAAAAGACTTAACTGTTGTGTGGATCTTCTTTCCTTTTTCCCTGGAGAACCTTTGTAGGATTCTGTTGTGAGATAGGATCTTTTGTATATGAAAATTTGATTACAGATAGCATGATTGCATGTTGCACAAAATGTTTTATTTGCTTTTTTTAGTTTTTTTTATTATTTGCATAATTTGCTTTTTTGCACAAACCTTGCACATATGTATTCATACTTTTAGCTGTACTGTGCATGTGGCTTTCACATCAATTAATGGTTTGCATAACTTGTGTTTTTGCACAACCTCTGCATTTTTATTTTTAAGATATATTGTACTGTATTATACTGATTATCGGTTATTTTATATAATTTTTATGAAACCGCTATTTGGCATATATTAAAAAAACAGAAACATAGGATTAGGCTGCAGTAAAAATACCCTTAACTCGATTTAATGTGGTTGTTTACACTGAAGGAGAGCTGGTATTATTCACTATTGTGACCTTTTTGAAAAATCCTAATGGTCTATGGTGATGAGAGTGTATGTATGTATGTGTGTATGTGTGTATGTGTGTATGTATGTATACATGTACGTGCATCTTGTTACAATGGCAATTGTAAGTGTGTGGGATATATTAGGCAGCAAGTGAGTATGTTGTCCCTGAAGTTGATATGATGGAAACAGAAAGAAATGGGCAAGTATAAGGATTTAAGCAACTTTGACAAGGGCCAAATTGTAATGGCTAAACAACTGGGTCAGAACAACTCCGAAACTGCAGCTCTTGTGGGATGTTCCTAGTCAGCAGTGGTCAAGACCTACCAAAAGTTGTCCAAGGAAGGAAAACTGGCTACAGGGTTATGGGAACCCAAGGCTCATTGATGCATGTGGGTAGCGAAAGCTGGATTATGTAGTCCGTTTCAATAGAAGAGCTATTGAAGCTCAAATTACTGAAAAAGCTAATGCTTGTTCTGATAGAAAGGTGTCAAAACACACAGAGCATCACAGTTTGTTGTGTATGGCTAGTCAGGGCACCTATGCTGACCTGTGTCCACAGCCAAAAGGGCCTAAATTGGGCATGTGAGCATCAGAACTGGACCACAGAGCAATGAAAGAAGGTGGTCTGGTATGATGAATCATGTTTTCTTTTACATCATGTGGATGGATGAATGTGTATGCAGTGCTTACCTGGAGAAGAGATGGCACCAGGATGCACTATTGGAAAAAGGAAAGTGGAGGCAGTGATCTGCTAATGATGGCTTGGTGACAGGTATCACAGCATACCTCCAGAGGTCTAGTGGCCTTTATGCCTTGGTGGGTCAGGGGTGTTTGATGGCAAAAAGGGGACATACTCAATAATAGGTGGGTGGTCATGCTATGCTGGATGGCCATAATGTTATGGTTGATCTGTGTATATCTATCTATCTATCTATCTATCTATCTATCTATCTATCTATCTATCTATCTATCTATCTGTCTGTCTGTCTGTCTGTCTGTCTGTCTGTCTATCTATAGTATTGCACTTCCTTTTTTAACCCAGCTCATCTATATGTTTGTTATATAATTTACAGGCTGCTGAAGGAGACACATATTTGTTTAAATATCAGTCAGGGCATATGAAGCTGAATTATCCTGACATGCCAAAGAGACTGACAGGCATCATTTACCACCTGAAGGGCACATAATGTTTGAACTCTCTGTTATATAATACATCATTGCTCAATGATAAAACTCCTCACACTCTGGTGAAGAACTGGAACAAACTGATGCAAGCACTATTTTTAGTTAGATGTTTGAATGTGACAGATTTCATGTTGAGCAACAACACCTCTATGAAAGGTCCCTAGTCCTATGACAAGTATGAATTTATAACCACTTTCGGTAACCAAGAAATGAATGTATTAGATTTTTACCATGTTTCCTGTTACAGTATGAGGCTTATGTTTAACCTCTATTGACTGATGTAAATAGTCATGTATATAAATATATCTTAGACAGGTTATGATTAATAGGTGTGTAAGCTAACTATCTGGATTATCTATTTGCCTCTTTAGTTGCTTCTAAAGAAGTGAGAATGTAATTAATTGTGTGTTTAAAAGAATTCTTACAGCCAGGTCATTGCCAGATTAGTTTATCTAAACAATAGCAAAGCAAACTTTTCTTTGTCTCCAGATACCAGCTTCAAAGCTTTCCATATTTGTGTAAACAATAGTGGTGGCTTGGTTTGTAGTACATAAAATTGACTTTTGGGAGCTTGTTAGGACAGACATAGACAGAACTAAAGTCAGTCTATTGATCTGTTTCAATACAACCAGCCTGTCATCTTTTTTTTTGTGCTTGATCACTGCCAGCTGCAGAGACTGAAACCAGCCATAGATGGTTAGAATCCTGGCTGGTTCCACACGGTTCGGCTGATATTTGAACCATCTATGAGCAGGCTGATTGTACCCAATTTGATTGTTATACGACTTGAGTACAACCAGCCTGGATTTTTCATGCGATTATTGCCAGCTGCTATAGCCACTAGAAATAATCACTGTGTTTTCCCAGCAGGGGCAGCTCCCATCCCCTCTCATGTGCCCCCCCCCCCCCCCCTCCCTTCACCAGGAGAACACAATAGCTCCATAGGAGGGATTACCCCATAAAAACTGATTGTGTTGATGGAGAAATCAAGCAATTTTCTTTCCTGCAATCCATGGTTGCAGGAAAGAAAATTGCATCATCTATGACCGGCTTGACTGTATTGTTGTTGGAATTGGGCAATTTTATTTCCTTTTAAGCTGTGGTTGAAGGAAATTAAATTGCATAATGCATGGCCTGCCTAACACCTGCACATTTTAATTATTGGCTCCAAAATTGATAGCTAATTAACAATTTTCTAGAAAAGGGGCATGGTTATAGTAACAAAGAAAATTTTAAAGTATGCATTTCTCAGAGGACTAGTTTGCTTTTATTAGGTCAGTAGTAACTGTTCACCAGACTGTGCCACTCAATGTCAGTTTATGGGAGATAGCAACCTGAGAATGTAATTAGTAAGTTGACCACCAGAGTTGCTGAGAGGGTCCCGAACAACTGAACTGACACATACGTTTTGCTATATTTTTGTCTATGTTACTGTATGTTATAGCATGCTTGATCATTTCCCTGTATATAAATAGATGGTTGGTTTGTCATATGTAAGCCCCTTTTACTGCACACAATACATTTTTGTTCTAGATTTGGACTTCACTCAAGTGTCTGAACCTTACTACTAGGTTATATACATGCAAATATAGAAACTTATAAAGTAGTCATATATCCAGGTGTAAGCCGTGTACTGGGGTGGGCTCCCCAGGATACAGTAAAGTCACGAACGAGAAAAGCAACCCCAACACCAGCTTTTGCCACAACAGAATTTTACTTAGATGTGGCAAATAAACACAACCCCAAATGCTGAGAACATACAATAAATTTACATACACCCAGCCCAAAGGCTGAGACCCTTGTGCTGCACAGCACGGCGCCTTCTGATGGATGAAGGTAGAAGGTGTAGTAATTTACCTACTGGCGGGCACAAATAAGCTGCCACACCTTACCTGTTATTACCCTAAAAGAGCAGGGATCAGTGTATGGGTGTATGGTATGGGTAGCCTGTGGTGCAGCACAACAGCTTACAATCTTACACAAATCTATAGTATTCCCCCTCCCATAACTGGTCCTGTAGCACGTGCCTGATTATTCCTTCTGAGCAAAACGCCAGTCTGGCTTGAGTTTGTAGGATGTTATCAGCTCTCCAATGTGAAATGTCACTAAGTTGTGGAGTCCTTCCAATGATCAGTAGCAACACTTGTGGCCTGACACAAACAGAGACCCTAACTAACTATAGGCCTGGACTCAGTCTCAAAGCGCCAACACTGAAATGAGGTGCGTGCACAATCTCACCGACCCGGGTCTGCTTTGTATCCGCTGGTGACTCTGAACAGAACAAATGTCTCTCCAACAAGCATGCGGTCTTGCCGTATATGTTGCTTAGTTCCTCTGCTGTCATCAGCCTCCCTGGCAGCAATCTCATCAGCATTCCTGGCAGCAATCTCATCAGCATTCCTGGCAGCAATCTCATCAGCTTCCTGGCAGCAATCTCATCAGCAGTCCTTACAGCAATCTCATCAGCATTCCTGGCACCAATCTCATCAGCTTCCTGGCACCAATCTCATCAGCTTCCTGGCAGCAATCTCATCAGCTTCACTCAGCTGCAGCTCTGACCACTGAGGGATGCCCC